AATTCAGGCAATACCGAGTGTCGCTTCATCTGGCGTTCAACAGTTTGCTTCACGACGTTCTTTCCCAGTTACTTTCCCAGTGAGTTCCGGATCTTCATCGCAGCATCAGATTGTCATGACAAGTGGTGGGCCGATCGATTCATCTGCACAGCAGTCTTACGCTGTCGTTGTTACGTCACAGGAAAATGTGAGTTCGGCACACACTTGCATTAGCACTTCATTTACAAAATGTTCATTCGAGACAGATTTCAGTTTCTCAATCGAAACTTGAACATGTAAAGCGAGCCTGTAATAATTGTCAGTTTATAGTCTGCTTTTTTGGCTATACAGTTACCAATTCTTCCAGTTGCTTTGACCAGTGCTGTATCATTTGATGGTCGCCTTTTCCGTTATGCTGATGTTTTTACCCATAAGCTTGAGTTATTTGGTTTTTTTTTTTTTTTGACAGCTTCCTTATCATCAACGAAGGATATCGGCAGCTATTTAAAAACTGTTGTACAGCTCTGAAAAATATTAGTATTTTCTAACCTCAGATTTCATCCGGGCAGCAGCAGCAACAACAGCAGCAACAATTTGGTGGTCGTGTACAATATGCGGTGCGTCAAGAAGGAAGCATAGGTGAACGACAAACCGTTTATCGGTCAGCAACGTCCTCTGCAGTGAAGGCTCGACCAGGCACGGCAATGAGCACTCAGAGAGTAAGTTTCGAGCCTTACATTTCGTGCTTCAAAACTATACTTTTTTAAAAACCACTTTTAGCACATTCAATTAAATGTTCCCCGTCCACATTAGTCTCAACCAGCTCAAACACAGCCCTCGGTCATGCGTGGTACCTACGCACGGTTTCACCAAAGTTCTCCTCGAGTAAGTTCATAACTCGAGAACCTGAAAAGCTAAAAGACTGTAGTTTTAAGATGTTCCCCGTCCAAGTAAGTCTCAACGAGCTCAAACGCAGGCATCGGGTATGCGTCGTACCCGCGTGCGGGTTCGTGAAAGTTTATTTCCAGTAAGTTGCTAACTCAGGAGCCAAGAAAACTGGAAAGCTGAAATTTTAAAGGGGGTGTTTCCTGCTCATTCTGGCGGCCAGTTTTAATTTGTTTAGCTAGAAGCATTTGCCGAAAAAACCGATGCCGGTAGCGGCAAAAACTACGGGAAATTATGCAAAAAACGCATCTTCGCACGGGTAGCCCGTGCGTTGGCCAATTATTCTAGCATATTTAAGGAATTTTTTTTTCTAGCCAAAACCATTTCAACCCGGATATGCGACTTCATCAGAAATGCAGCAGCAGTA